GCTAACCAAACTAAGGTCAAAACTGCGGCGTCGAAGGAAGGTCTGGCAGCTGGTTATAAAAGCAGGTCTCCTGATGAGCTGATGAACGTCAGCTGTGCTGGAGGGCTCCAACCCAGGAGATCCACAGCGCACCCTGCTGGAGACAGGTGGCAGATCTCCAGATGCCAACAGCCTATGGGCAAAGATTTTTGCACTCTAGAGTGGAAATATGTCACCAATCCTACAAAAAACGGAATGATGCTTTACTAGTCGTTAAAGTTTAAATATTTATCTTGCACATCTAAAAAGATATATTGATATGTTTTGAAGTATTTAACATTTTAATTTTAAACTAAATTATAAGAAAATGATCATATCATTTTAAATGTTTTAATCAGGTTCAATAGATGTGGGGTGGCGCCCTAGCGTCCTCTATTGACCAGCCTCCACTACTCTGAGTTAAGAATCCAAAACTACACAAAAGTCGCTTGTTTTCATGTCCCCAGTTTCCTTTGTTTATCGTCCATATTCGGTTAGTCAACTTTCCTGTCATTGTTCAGTCTTCTGACCCACATAGAAAAAGATCTCTGGAAAAAGTGGGATGAAAAACACAATGATTTATTAAATATGTAATCAAAGAGGATCCAGCTAGGGGACAGCAGAGGGACACGGCCAGGGAATTTTACAAGGACAGACAGCATGACGGGTGGCTTGAGATGTACTAAAACGGGGTCACCAACGCAGTGCCCATGGGCACCAAGGAGCCCTCCAGGACCACATGGGGGGCCCTCAACATCTTCTGAAAAAAGAACAACTCACTTTGAAACTAAATTTTATTTTGCTGCTCTTCTTTTTTAATCATTTATAGAGCCTTTAAGCATTTATAAACATTTAAAAACGACAATACCTTAAAGGAAATTAGAAATTAAAATAAAAAATAAAAATATGTTTATTATAAATCAAGTTTGAATGCTGATCCCTCCAGTTATTGGTAGCCCTTCTTGTGACCCAGCATCCTTGAAGTATCCCTCAGCCTTAAAAAGATTGGTGACCCCTGCACTAAAAGCTAAGATGAATTAGTGACCAGGTCTCACTGTGGATGAGGGTTTAGACCAGGGATCTTCAACATTTTCCAGGCCAAGGACCCCAAAACTGATGGAGAGATGGAGCGGGGACCCCCTAATTATATATATTATATCAAACTGTTCCTATAGTCACTCTATTACAGATTGAGTAATGTAACGAAAGTAATTTCTCCCAGGGATTATTAAA